TGCCAAGCGGTGGAAGTCGGCACGAAAAAATCGAGGAAATTCAAAATGAGGCTGTAAATCGACGAGTAGAATACATAATTGCAGCATATATATAATTGCGTTACACAAAAAAAGAAAGTGGACGGAAAGAAAAACACGACGTTTGGGTGGACGCTACGGATTTCCTTCTTTAAAGTCGCGCTAGGCCTACCTCGTTGCATTGGGCACGCGACGCTGCTCAGAGAGCGAAGCAACTGGTAACGTAGCTCCCATTATTGATTGGTAGCGCAGGTCACTTCCTCGATTTTTTAGTTCACGCAGCCACCGCCTGGTGCCGTCGGTATATGGAAAAGGTCCATTGCGCCAAACTGCGCCAAGGGGCTAACCCTGCTACATCCTGCTACATTTTGCCAAAATATGGGTGATCTGCGCCAAGCCTGCGCCAAAGGACCAATATTGGTGTCTTTCGAAACTGGAACTAAACTGAGTACTGTAATTGAGCATGTGTGAGCTAGGTAGCGCAAGCGGCTGCCCAACAAAAAGTACCCTCTATCGATTGTCCATCCGGGCTGCATAGTTTTTCATGCCACCTCTCGTTTCACGCTCTCGCTGTTAATGTGTCTCGTCGATCGCGCCTTAAAAAAAAAAAAAAAATTCAACGATTGACGCGGGCGTGTGTTGACGCTTCAGTGCCTCAGTCATTGTACAAAGCGCTCCAAGTACTTTTTGACCCGGACTCGCGATGTCTTGTTTTGACCTGACTCGCTCAGGTTCTTTTTTTCTGTGTGTTTAGCTTGTGCCTCTCCTGCCGGCCTGGCAAGCACGTGCCGCTGGACAGTTTTTTGTCATATGCTGGAAAATTACACTTTGCATACAATTTTGGAAACCAGTTGGCGACGGAGCGGAGTGGCATGGTGTCTGTTTCGATCGAACAGCCATCTCCGCTCGCGCGACAAAGCACGTGCAAATGCAAGCCTGCCGAAGTTGCCCTCATGTGCATTCGAACATGACTGCACGACAGAAGCACTAGCCGAGACGCTTGCAACCCATTGTTTTACGTTTGCTTACTTTTGACGAAAATCTGGCACGTCGGGAACCAGTAAAATGGTGGCAAGCGGTTTTTCGGAATTGCTCGGCAACGCCCACAGCACTGTTCACTTGTGGGATGTCTCAATGTCTCTTTGGAGACATTGAAAGTGGGAATTCATTACTAGCCACAGGCAAATTGAGGCTTGCAGCAGCATTGTAGAAACTTTTGGAAGGCAAAAAGAAAAGCACCCACTACTCTTAATGCACCTTTGTCTTGTGTACAATTTCGCATTGCACTGCAGTAGTTACGTGTATCATCAGTTGGAGACAGCTTCCATTTATTGTATCATATAACTATGGTAGTCAACCTAATGCTGTGATATTTACTAATAAGCTGGTCATTTTCAAATAAATTTTAATATGTGCTGTTTGTTTCTTTTTTATCTATAACGGTACATATATATGTATAATTTAACGAAAGCATTGCAAAATGTGTCATGTCATTGGCATTTCAGTTACATGTTGAAAGACTCCCAGGTGGTCTAACTTGACCATAATTTGTTTATTGCGGCGAGCGAAGTGTCCTTCGTTCGTCCAGCACTTAAAACGAAAATAAGTTTATTTTTCTAAGAATATCTGCTCCAAAAGCCACTTTTGCTGCTCCGAAACACTGTTTTGGCTGCTCCAAAAGCCACTTTTGCTGCTCCAAAACACTGTTCTGGCTGCTCCAAAGGCCAATTTTGCTGCTCCAAAACACCCTTTTGGCTGCTCCAAAAGGTGCTCCAAAACGGCTTAGGCCAATCACATCACTGTTATGGATCCCAGGAGGCTCGTTTCGCAGTGTTCAAAGATGACCAATTTCTTGCTTATGACTCTTCTGTGTAGTAAATGCAAGCAACTTTGAATATGAAGCTCCCATGCCCACTTCTGTTTGTGTACAAAACTTGTTTTTAGCCACCCTAACTGTGTCGTTTCACAGACTCGGTACTGTCGAAGTACATCGGCGTATGGGGCAACGCTCTGGTATTACGGTCCTTTTTTTTGCAAATATAAAGTTTTCACATTATGACATTGCCAAAAAATAGGTCACAGGTGTTTTTTCGATGTAGTAACCAGATAGGTTGCTTACTGCAAAACAAGTACTATATTTGAACAGGCAGAGTGCATTGAATTGCTGAACCTATGCAGGTTTATCACAGGTCTAAGAAAAGTTTGTCAAAATATGTGCAATACATTTTTCAAACTATGTGCGATACATTTTTCGAACCAACACATCACAATTTTGGAATGGTGTTACTTTTATACGTGTCTGGCGATTCGCGTCCCGTTGCTGTTGCATCAGGTGTCCCTAAGGGTAGTGTACTCGGGCCTTCATTGTTTCTAATATATATCAATGACCTACCATCAATTAAATCGACAATTACTTTTCGCTGATGCTTGAGTTATTTACCGGAGAATGAATACACCTATAGTGATCAGAATATTGTCCAAGACGATTTAGATACAATATGATCATGATGTTCCCTATGTCAGATGAACATTAACGCATGTAAATGCAAAGAAATGTCCGTAATAAAGTCCTCCACTGAAACACTAACCGAGTACTCGTTACTTTCCCAACCACTAGAACACTTATTGTCGTACAAGTATTTGGGCGTGTATTTTACAGACTCATTATCATGGATTGAGCAAATAACAGGTAGTGCGCTAAAAGCACTTGCCGTAAAATACCGGGCAAGCGCCCACTCAAAATTTATAGATAAACACGAAAAAATGGAGAATGGGCGCTTGTCCCGTCATCAATTTTACGTATAAATGTACTGCGCATATTTTTTCAGATCTTAGAAATTTGGATATCAGCGCTTAATGTGGAATGGGCGGATGCATGATATTCTACGGTAATTTGTGAAAAAGCCACTTGTATGAGAAAATGTTTGTGTTCAATAAACACATACAAGATATATAATAACCATATAAGAACTTATATGATAACTATATAAGATATATAAGAAACTTACAAGTTTCTGATATTTTTTTATTTTATTTATTTATTACTTTTGCGGTGCCCCCCAAGAGCCTACAAGAGGGTGCACCGAAGTGCGTACATGCAAGAACACAAAACATAAAAATACAAAATACAAGAACATGCCTAGAAAAAAAAGTTCACATGTTTGATAACAGCACTGACACAAAAACATGCCTAGTTAAAGGCATGTTTTGGCCTTTAACAAGGCAAAAAGCCTAGTTCTTGTTCAGTTCTTATGTAGTTCTTATATGTTCTCATATATCTTGTATGATTCATATCTGTTTATTGGACACAGAAATTTCTCATACAAATGAGATTTTTCAGTGAGGATTAAGACATTAAGACGAAACTACTCGTATACAAAACATTTATCTTCCCAACATTAGAATATGCAAGCATAATTTGGAATCCACACCTAAGTTACCTAATCTTGAGGTTCGAATCTTCAGAACAAAGCAGCCAGATTTAGATGCAGTGATTATTCATCTGAAACTAGTGTCTCCACTTTAAGAGCTAGCATAAATTAGGGTGCCTTCATGTGCGCTTCGCATAGAGTGATGCCAACTGCCTGCTTCCCTTTCCCACACCCTCTTCCACCGCCATTTTGTTTCTCTCATTGTTTCCCCGTGCGCCGGAAAGTGGCCTTTGTGTCCATCGGTAATCCCATCCGAGGGGGAAAATGCTAATCCTCCCTCCGTGGGTTCCACAACGCTGCTCCGAACTTCTGAGATAAGGTGCTTGTTTCCGGGAGGGTTATAAGCTCCACGGAATATCGTTGAGGAACAAAATGGCTGCTGGTTTGTCGGCAAGTGGTATTACAAAGGGTGGCATCACCCTAGCAAAGCGCACATGAAGGCTCCCTAGCATAAATGTTCCTAATCTACAAAAAAGACAAAAAATAGCCGGATTTTTTTTTATTTTTTTTAAGATGTATATTACTTAGATTGCGATTCTCAATTTACTTACTGCTGGGCTGCAAATTTTATATCATCCATCTTAGATAGTCCTGCAAGATTGAACCATTTCAGTGCCATACTTTCCTCTTTTCTTCCTTAGTACTTTGCACCACTGATTGGAACAAACTACCCAACCATATTGTAACTGAGTGATATCCCCTTGCATTTAAAAATAATTGCATCAATTTGTGTAACTGTGAACCTTGATTTGTAAAACTGCATCATAACAATAACATGCTAATAAGCATTTTTATTTTTTTTTTGTGTGTGTGTAATCTTTACTTGTTGGTGTTTATTTTTTTTTTTAAATGTTCAATTGCTTTTTTGGTATTTATTTTTGTGTCCCCCCCCCCCCCCGATGTATGTGTCTTTGGACGCCTTTGAGGTGAATAAAATGAAATGAAATGAATGCCTCTGCATCATTTATCCGGTTGTTACTGTAGTTGATTTTATTTGGTCCTACTAGTACACTTATTGCCATTTCATAGGAATTCTTCTTTTTTTTATACAACTCCGATGTCGTTCAGAAATGATTACATCACCCAGTTTATCGCTTAAAAAAAATAACGCATCTGTCTCAAGATATCACTTTCTTGTATGAATTCACTACAATAATTGTAGGTTATAATAATTTTCCTGCGTTCTAAATTTTGTTCTTTAAATCACTAGGCGTCCACAGCTCTCGTGTTAACTCGTAAAAAATAAATAGTGCGAAAACTCGTTTCTACGACGTAAACGGTACGCGTGAAGCCTTCAGCTCAGCTCTATAGCCCAGCGCACGTCTGCCTGCTGCGGTGACGTCACCGGAGGCGTGTGCTGGCCTCCTCCTCTAGGTGGTGATGGCCGGGGACGGCCGTGTCCACACCCGTGAACCCCCCCCCCCCCAAATATAATTCCAGGCGTTTCAGTCCCTCCCCCCAACCCCCTCCTCCAGAAAGAAATTGTACCTTGTTTGTTTATGGAATTCAGGGAATCTGAAGGTGTTTCACGCTTCTTTCTCTTCCGGACAGATACCGAGACCGAGCTGGAGTTTGAGGTGCCCCAGACGAGACGCAACGTCTACTACAACCTTCGCCTGCGCGTGGTCGGAAAGTTTGGAGGCGCCACTTTTGAGAATGAGACCTACGTCTACTTGCGGACTCCCAACGACTTTGTGGTGCTTGTGCAGACAGACAAGCCCAAGTATCGCCAAGGAAGCACGGGTGAGCCACCTATGGTGTCATCGCCGGCACTCTCAAGTTACAGATGAACAAATCAATCTTTTTGCTTTGATTTTCAAATGCCGGGCTGTCTCAGGACGGTGGAACATAATTGCGCGAGATATAATACAAAGTGAAAACAAAATATACTAGAATAAAAAATAACCAGTCATTTGTGCAAAACAAGATCAGTCATCAGTGGCAAACAAAAATTCATGCAATGCTAAAAAAAAAACCTCACTGGGCAGCAAATTTTAATGGAGTTTTAATGGTATGAGAAAGAAACTGCTTTAAACTTTGCTTCCATTCACTTCCATGTGTGCAGTGACATAAAATGGTCTTCATTAACGCCACAAATTTGATCGAATGTTTTATTTCTATTATACAGATTTCGTTGGTTCTTTTTATTTCTTCCACTACTCCTAGAGGTTGCGACTCTCAAAAGGAAATGGCTGAATATTTTTGTGAAAAATGTAGTGAGGTAGATAAATAATGCCAGCAATTCACATTTTGTTTTTAATACAGCATTATACGGCTGGTTCTCCTGATATATGCGGTGGAGCGTTGCAAAAGATCATCTCAAGAAAGACCATCACACGGATTTCTTGCTATTTAACGATAGTTAATTCATTGTAATAATTGTAGAATGAGAATGATCCCTGTGTTGCACGCTATATCTCCCACCTTATGTGTAGAACCAATTTGCTACATTTGATTTTTATAATTTGCTCGATGGCTTTACACCTAGAAGCTTCAATTGCTTGGTTTTTGTTGTGCGCAGCCAAGCACCAAGGCTGTAATTATTGTTTTTCAGCTTGTACGACTCCGGGATTACACAACATTTACGGATAGTCCCTTAAAAGCCTTACAATCTGGGTTCCACTTAATTGAACATTATCTCTCCATTTCAATTCAAACGACACTTGCAAATATTTACCGTGGTGCCAATATGACGTCGTAATGGATATTGCTACATCCTTGCTTGTACTCCATTTTGCGGAGATAATGAAACAATGTGGAAAGATTGGCAGACACTAATTTCCCGGTTATTTCCAGTAAACTACCGGGTGGTCCTACTTACCAAGAAGTTACTGCCTGTGGTCAACCAGAAGGTAATTGAGTCTGACTGTACCTGGGATGGAAGGGTTGAACCTACAATGTTTTTCTCACTATAGGTCTGGCATTCAAAACGTCCGGACCAATTTTATTAAATATAGAGCAGTATTTTTGAATATTGTCAAATATTTGCGAGACTCCAGAAAGAAACAGCTTAAATCATTGCATATCCTACTCAGCATGGGCACACTGAGGTGAAGTGGCAGCCAAGGGTGTTGTGGGTAGAGTTATTCATTCATTAATTCATTCATTTATTTTAAGTGCTTATAGGTAATGCCTTAATGATTGATGGACAACGTGCATATTAGAGGTCAGTGGAACAATTCCTTCAAACTTTAGTTAAAATGAAGTATGACATAAAGCACTTCTCAGAGACGCATGCATGCCCCTTTTGAAAATAATGCATATTAATTGTTTATAGTACTACACTTCATAGTTAGACGATGGGAATGAGGGTATCAGGTGACCTGACCGACATTATCTCTTTGCAGGTCAACATTTCCATCTCCAACCCCTTCAGTCAACTGCTGTCCTCTCAGCAAGAAGTGCAACTTGAAGATGGTATAGTATTCTCTAAAATATTCGACTAAAACGCAAGCTGGCACAACAAAGATATTGACAGAGAAAATTGGAAGTGCCGTTGTAATACTCGACCAGACATTTGAGGTACTAATATGTCGAAGCTTTTATTTATTTGTTTATTTTGCCACCAAGGCACGGCAGCATTGCAGAGTTGGAGTGGTGAATAAAAATACGACAAAGAAAACGCAATAGGAATTACGTTGTTACTCAGAGTGGGGAACTGGTAGTTAGCTATGCTAACACAAAAAAAAAAATAGTTTAGTTAACAATTGATATTAGTGATGCGGGGAAATTATTCCAATCATTAATTGGAAGTTTCAGGAATGAAAGATGCAAAAAAAGAATTAGAGTGGCAAAACGGGACACTTTGTGGCGAAGATCAATGTGTGTGCGGAAACAAACCAGAGAAACCATGGTGAGATTATGAGCTGTGCATTGAGTTGAGTAATATGGTGGTAAATCTTACGAAAAAGACGAATACTAGATATTCTGCAACGATGTGCAAGACATGCAAGCTATTTTTCGTTGATTTGACACCTGCAGTGCAATTATAATTGGCTAGTATCAAATGTGTGCCTACTCATGCAGGTGCCATCATAAGCTGTATTCATTTGCATGGCAAGCTGAGCGAGGGAATGTTCCTGGTTCTAATGATTCCCAGGAACCACCCCATATCACTATTGATATGATTTCCACACTCCTGGATTGCCTGCAGTGTCTGTTTATCCAAGTTCATTCCAATGTTAGGTTATTGATCGTCTGTTTCTTGTAGGGCTTTTCCAGGGCTCTTACAAGCTTCTTGAAATTACTGAGGAAGGGTCTTGGAGTATTAATGTCCAGGCAGGCAACTCTCAGGGGTCAACCAGTTTCCAAGTGGAAGATTATGGTGCGTACCTTCCACATTCAAGATAATGCAGAGCGGTTTCCTCTTCACCAAACTTGGAAAAAATGTAAAGCAAATACATAATTTTTTCTTTTTTTTTTTTTCGCGCACCATATACACGTCTAATAAATGTTCGATAATTACTTTACTGAAATTGAATGCCATTCAGATGCTACTTCTGTAGGACTTAATGAGACAGATATCTGCGAGGAATGTCTTAATAAATATTGATGAGCAATTCCGGTAATGTAGATGGTGGGGCGTGTCTTGTCTGTTTGTCTTCAAAGTCCCTCTTTCCTTGTCGTAAATTCCGGTAAAAGTTCAATTTTCTTTGCTAAGAGACGATGAGGAAATTAATGGCACTTGCAGATCTGAATTGTAAATTAAAAGCAATGATCGTATATTCGCGTATAATTATAAATTGCGGGGGTAGTGCTCAGACTGGTCCCTTAAGTCTGTTTGATAATGTTAAATGTTATTTTGCTACTACTGCAACGTTGTGTGTCAGTCGTGGATTACCATTTGCTTTCGTGTCACAATATAATGTGGATGGCTTTTGGCTAGGAATAAAATTCAAATTAGAAAGATGCGCAGAAGTGCAAATAAAAGCCATGCCCTGAAATTTTAAATGAACAATTTACCCGAGTGGCCCGATGTTTAACCTTCGGTGCACGTGGATTAAGTTTTCTAATCCTCTGGTTTTCCTTCTTTTAGTATTGCCCAAGTTCTTTGTGAGCATTACTCCCGATGCCAATGACGTCCAAACCAACCCTACTGTGGATTACAAGATCTGCGCCAAGTGAGTTGTTATTTGACAGACAACTCGTAAATACTTCAGCGTTTTTTTTTTGTATTTACGATGAAGCACGGTCTCAATATACCGATTTGTATTTAATTTATTTATGAGGCAAATATAAAAAAACTAATTTTTTGAAGAGCAGAATGTTCCTTGTTTGTGAGGTCATCTGTATTTTATTTTTTCTTGTAAATACAAAATATACCGTATCTACTTTAGTTTTTGGTTAAGGGAGCCACCAAATTAGATAGAAAAATCTTTTACAACCGTAACGCTACCTTTTACCTCGGTATTGGAGGAGCGATATCGAGACATTGGAGTAAAGGACACATTAAAAAGTAGGACTGTCTGAATACCGAATAGTAGTTTTCGAATCGAATACCGCATCAAACTAAGAAAAGCCGAATATCAAATCGAATATCGAATAGCGATTTTATTTGTAGGAATTTTTCAAAGTGTGCTGCGAATGAGATGATTCTATGTGCAGACTATGCACCTGGTGCAGAATGTGCATCTCGTACAGAACAAAAGCTATAATGTATAGAAGTTCTGGTGAAACAAAAAAGAAGCTGTTGTTGGACGTTGGGCACTAAAGATCCAATTTTATGGCGCAAGCACAATCTATCTACCCTAAACGTCACAAAAAAAACCAAAGTTACAGCCACGCCTGCCTCTTTTCCTAGTTTAAAACACGACCTAACACCGCAGCTTTTCTTTATATTTGTATATCTCAGAAAAGGGGCACCTTCCGATATTTGGTTTCCATTTTAAAGAAGAAAATGGGCGCTTGAAATTTTATTTCCCATAAATATACAGATAGGTGTTAAATCTGAGTACAGTCGCCGACCGTTTTTTCGGACTCTGATAATTCGGACTTGTTTGATATTTCGGACCTAAAGGAGGAACTGTGACAGATTGGTCGGAAGTTGTTGTGATGTCGCGAGGAAAGAAGGCGAGCAAACGGAAGAGCGACGACGCCTGGCCCGCCTGCCCGATCCTGCCCGATCCCGACGCCTGCCCGACGCTTTCGCCTTTTTGTCACCTTCTCGGAGTTTGTAATTCAAAAGCGGCTAGCGAACGGTTGCAAACCTTCTCAAATCTAGGCACACTATTTTTCCGTTCCGAATCAGAATTTGTGGCTTGCGGTTCCGAAAGAGGGACGACGACAATTCGGCTAGTTTCATCGGCCTGGTTAGCGTGGTTTTCTTTCAGTGATCGTGCAGTCGCCGATTTCTGTGAGTGCGGCATCTATGTTCTACATTAGCGCTTCAATTTGAAATGAGGGGCTTTACCCGTGAAAAGAATTGGGCATGGCGCGGAATTCCGGCCTCCCAACAATTCCTCTCTGGAAGCGGCGCAAATGGGACGTTTCGGTTGTGATTCAAGGGTAGATAGCGTCTCAATCATGCGTAAATCTGCGTGCTATAAAGTTTGTGGCGTTCGATACCTTTCTTTTTTCTAACCTGTGCGTTAGGAATGGTAGGACCAAGAGGTGTTTCTCGCATGGTCTGTTTAACATCACGGCGCTAACATCGGGAGCAAAATGGCCCTTTTGTCAGCTCCGTGCCGACTGCTTGTTTTTGGCCGAATATTTTGAATATTCCAGTGACCGAATACTAGGAATTTGATTCGCGAATCAAATTATTTGGGACCTTGCTATTCGATTTGCGAATCAAATTATTCGAAACTTTGCTATTCCATTCGAATTTATATATTAGAGTATTTGTACACCTCTATTAAAAAGCATTAAGTTTACAACAGCTAAGTACTGGTGTAAACCTTTGACAGCACCAAGTCTCCATATTATCTCCTAATGCTGTTATATACATGTGTTAAGTAGAAAATGGTATAAAAAAGGAATTGTAAAATAGGAAATAATATGAATAAATAGGAAATGATATACTAAATAAAGGAATATATAAGTGCTTTGAAGCTCTTGTTGATTATATTAAGTTTTTGCTAATACGTATGACATCCTTTTCCTCCTGGAACGAAACTGAAGGTACACCTATGGCAAGGACGTCAAGGGAGCTGTAGAGGTGTATGCATCTTCCTTCAGCTACTACTATCCCATTGGCCAGAAGCCCGTGATCCTCCGTGTTGCAGAGGTGAGCCACTTGCAAGGTTTTGAAGCATATCTGGAATCAAAATAGGCACATTTCTGTGGTCAGAAATGCTTTTAAGAGCTTCTTTTCTCTCCTCTTAGCAATACTGACCCTCGTCAGAAGGCAATCTGGTTGTAAGACTTTGTTTTATCAGTTTTTGTAATCAAAAATTACTTACCTGAATTGAAAAACAAAAAGTTATCAGAAGTAATATATGTAAACAATACTTCCTTTCGCAGTTGAGAAGACAAGGTAGCTCATTAATGTTTCTTGAACAAGGCAACTTGACTCGTTAAAATATACCAACAAAAAAAACCTGCGAAGCCCAAAAAATGTCTGAGCTATCTTGGACCTTCTCACCGTCCCCTCACCTACTAAGAGCAGTGTTGCTTTGTTGTCGTAGTAATGAAGTGTACCAAGAAAGGGCAATGAGGTAACCATATGTGTAGCTTATTGGTACAAGCAGGTCATTGGGAGGTTAATAGGAACATCTTGCAAATTAATGTTCTTAAAATCACTGTCTGCAGGCAGGTAATTTTAAGCCTGGGTATCATCTTGAACATTTTCATAGACCAGGAGACTTGTTGGCCAAGTGGCCAGATTGGGAACCTGTCGCATTCTCGAGGGTCGAAAAATACATAACTAGATATAAATGCAAAAATTGAATAAACCAGAAAAGCATTTAGATGCAGAAATATAGCTTATAGTAAAACTTTTGCAGGGGTGACGTCGGAACGCAGAGCTCTGATTGAAGGTTGGTGGGTCGACCTCAAAGCAAGCTGCCTTGAGGTCTACCCACTGTCCTTCCATCGGAGCTCGGCCTTCTGACGTCACCCCTGCAAAAGAAGTAGCCAGGCTTGCGCTCCGCATAGCTATTAATTTCATTTCTACATAGGGCAGCCCCAGTGGGGCTATGGCAGGACACAGACGGTCCAGACATCAGTAGTGATTGGATAGTAACAAATTCCAGGCGTTCAATGGTGTGAGGAGAAAACTGTATTTAAACATATCAGTACGAGGAGGAGAAGGTGTAATTCGTGGTGGCTCCTAGTTGCAGTTGGCTTGAAAGACTTTATGTAGCTATCTAAAGAGTCGTGATGAGGTAATCATGAAATACAAAGACTTTAGGCGTTTCCTCACGGTTTTTTTAATTGTTCAGCTGCCCGTATTCAAGCCTAGAAAAGGTCATAAAAACGGTTTACGACGGTTCAGGTTCATTTGCCAGGTTTTACACCACATACAAAAATTCACAAAAGAATTGTTAAGAGAATTCTAAGGTCATCGGAGGAGTTTATTACGTGATATAGTACGCAGTCGTCAGCGTCGTATTTTAGTGGAAATATAGCGTGGCAAATCATTGATCTATAACAAGGAGCGTAGCGGTCCAAGAATTGATCCTTGTGGAACACCTGATGAACTGTACTAGATTTGGATGAGTTAAAGTAGACAAACTGTGACCGACGAGAAAGAAAACTGGATATCCAGTTGACCAGGTGAGGGTTATTTAGAATTAGGTTAAGCTTGTGTAGAATGAGGAACTGTGTCGAAAGCCTTTGACAAATCTATAAATATTGCATCAACTTGATTACCGATATCAAGAGACTGACCGACATCATGAACAAATACTGTTGTTTTATAGTACTCTAACCACGTCGAAAACCATGTTGGAAATCGCATAAAATATTGTTTCGAGAAACTCCATAACATGCCTGTAGACAATAGAATTTGCATGAATGTGACGTTATAGAAATTGGTCTGTAGTTTGACAGTGATTCTGAGTTTCCAGATTTGTATACGGGAATGATTTTTGCGAGTTTCCAAGATGAAGGTGATTTCTGACAAATCACCGTGAGACTGCACCCAAGGGAGTACCCGACAATAAAGGAATTAGGAATGTCATCAGGACTTTTTTTGAGTATCTGACTTCAAAATCAGGTTTAGTACACACTGAACGTTCACATCTATGTCAACAACCACAGACTGCGAAACATGAGTAAAACGAGGAATTTCGAAATGAACAACTGTAAATGCTGACTGAAAGCATGTGTTGAATGCTGTAGCGATTGTCAGTGCGTCCGTGGTAGTTGCGTCGTTAATTATAAACGAGTTGGAAGTTGCACTGCCTGGTCAAATAGATTTTCGAGGGTTGCTTTTTATTAAGTTTTGCAACTCGGAAATACAAGTTTTTCGCAGAATTAGATTTAAGTCGGAGTTTCTCCTTAGCTTGAATAAACTGAGCAGTCTTTACAGGGTCAGTGCAACGTTTTCCACGCCGCAGTCTGCCGACACGTCGCGATAAATGCAATAATTCCCTCCTTATCCAAGGAGTGACAATGTTATTTTTTTGTTGTTTTGAGTGGCACGTATCGCTGGATACACGATTTAACCGAGTCTTCAAAGAATGTAACGAGTACATTCACGTCACTGGAAATACTAAGTTGTTCAAACACTTCAAGGGAAGAGCTTAATGAGTCAATTATGGACACATTATCGGCACGGTTAAAATCGGGAAAAGTGTGGTAAACAAAACATGTTTTAGGAACAGAATAAGCGACAGAAACAAAGACTGCCCTAGGATCTGATCAACGACTTCACTTAAAAAAAAAATGACCGCATCTTCACGTGGTGAATGATGAGGCAAAGCTCTGGTAGTGCTGATGATACTAATTTTTTGAGAATTTGACCGCAGCGCCCTCTCGTCTATAAACGTTGAGCCAATGCATGCAAAGTTTAAAGCGATTATATACGCATTTGACCGCAGCACCCTCTCGTCTATAAAAGTTGAGCGGCTACATGCAACGTTTATCCATGACATCTCTGGCTCTTGAGTTACTACCACATCTCGGAGCCCCTTACTCGTCCCGCAGTCGTGGCCGATGGACTAGAAATCCATTGGGGTCTGCCCGCACAGGTTTGAATCCTGTTAACTGCGCAAGCATTTTTTTTTTCTTTTTTTAAGAAGACAGATGCAATCGATGTGAGCACGGACGCCAGCCCCTAAAATGGTTTTCTAGCAGAGGTATACTAAGAAAGACCAAATCTAAAACTGACTCTCGTGAACAATCTGCTTTAAACCAAATGGCAATAAAAAGTTCAGTAACTCTCTACATATCTGAACGTCAGGACCAGATAGCGAAAACGATGACCACAGGATGCCAGGTAAATTAAAATCGCCCATTAATATTAATTTGGAAGAAGACAGGTTATGCTCGTACATAAAGTCACATAAAGCGTGTAACTGATCAATGGAAGAGCCGGGAGGGCGGTTGACAATGCCAACTAAAGATATATTTTCCACATTAAGTTTGCACCACACTGATTCAATCTGGGAAGGACAATGTATTACTGAGAATTTAATATTGGTCTTCAAAAAGAGCGCGACGCCACGCCCGTATTTCCTATCACGTCTAACCACGCAGAAACCAGAGGGTGTAATTTCGGTGTCATATATGGCATCATGTAGCCATGTTTCAGTGACTCCTCTAATGTGAGCAGAGTGGGAAGAAATTAGGGACAGAATGCCGGGGAACTTATTTACCGAACTTCTGGCGTTAACAATCAAGACACAAAAATTGTCACTTAAACCGTCTTAAACCGCGGCTGAGTCGATGACCATCAGTAGATGGGGCGGTGGTAGCAGCCTGGGCGGTGTAGTCGGAACACTGAACCAGTGTTTTAGTTTAATCAACCCAATTCTGTTGCTCATTATTAATGAACACACAATCATATTGAAGGTGGACGGTGGAGCCACTGCCGCAGAAAGAGGCCAATGCGTCCCATATTTTTTTTCCAAACGGAACGGACATGAACAGAGAAGTCTTCCGATATACGAATATCTGAACCCTCGAGCTTGAAAGAATTTTTCAATACTTGCATTTTTTCGCGGAAATCGAGTTTCATAATGACAGGACGTGAACGATCGTCGTGTTTTTGATCTATTCTATATGGCACCTTTCAATACACAGACCACAAAGTACATACAATTAAATGGGTTTTAAAGTTAAAAGAATTTGCAGTTTGTATTTTTATATTGTTTATCTGGGCACAAGGGACAAAAAATGTGCCACCTTGCTAAAAAGAAAAAACCTGTTATTCCGATATCTATTGGGAAAATGACTAATTATTTCCAGACGCGTGCGGTGCGAATCAGCAAAAACATAAAAAGTGTTAGTTATTGAGGCTCTATGTGGGGGGCTACTGGAACTTGTGGGAGACACGCGCGAATGTAAACAAAACGCTGCCACACTCGCCGTCAGCTTGGTGGCGTCTTTTGTGTCAATAGCTCGACGAGTCCTTAGGTGATGCTAATCCTTGAAGAGTGGGCAATCACGAAAGGAGCGGCTAGAGGATCTGAAGAGACGGAAAACAGGTGGTCCCCCGGAGTATGTCACTCGAAAGACGACCTGGGAGTTGATAGGCACTTTGACCTTCGATTTGTTGGATTATTTTTAAGATAAGAACTAGCACACGCAAGGAACCAAGGCTTTTTGTTCTTCGTTCCACAGGTGACACAGATTAATTCCCGCAGTTCATTGTCCAAATGCCGGAAATAGTTGCACCGCCCCTTTAAGAAACCGTAAGGATATTTTACAAAGGCAGGAAACAAATTGTGATGCATGGTGATGGCAGTGTGCAATAAATATGTTGACGAGAGCTGCATAACATTTCTCTCTTGTTCTTTCTGGTATTTTATTTTCCGTGTTTGGTGTGCGTCCCAAAGCCGTTTCTTAATGCGCGCTCATTTTTTGCGCCGGGCCTGCTGGGAGTGAGCTGCGAGCCGGGTGTCGCTGCGAAGATAGCGGTCAGTTGCGGGCTGGTAGGATTGCCCCTGATCGCTGGATTTGGTCTACCCCTGTCGTAGACCATTTCATTTATTCTTCCCTCGGGGCTCGAAAGCATTAGAGAGGGGTGGTTATCCAAAACGCGTAAAAGTAACATAGTTGAGTGAGGCGAACAAAAAAAAACTCGCACTATGCAACATCTGTTAACAACATCTGTTAGCCTCAGTAACATATAGTTACTGAGGCTATATGTGCGGGAACGAGATTCCAATCAGTGGAGCTTTGAGGTAGAAATGAGGCATTAAAAGTGCTGCAATGGGGAACCTTCATAGTCTTCACGTGATGATATGTACGATGGTTCTAAAAACGATGCTTGATGGAGGGCGGGGTTACAGTGATAATCTTGTGAAATAAACATAGACGAGATCTTTTTCTTTGGAAAGAGAGATCAGGCAAGGAGATGGACGATTTCATACACGTTACACTGGCTGTGTGATGGTAGTTTGAAACTATGAAACGTGCAGAACGATTCTGAATAGATTTGACAGCTGATGCAAGGGTGATACCAGAGTTCCAAATAGAACCTGCATATTCAAGTTTAGGACGAACTAGGGTTTTATAGAGAAGTTTTAACGAAAGGGGAGCAAGAAGTTATGTTTGGGAAAGCCCAAAAGTCGATTTGCGTTGTTAGTGACATATTGGACATGGATATTCCAGGAGAGGTCGTTGGTTATTCGAATGCCGAGATATTTATAGGAGGACACAGAAACTAGAGCAGAATTGTTGATATGGTAGGAAGAAGGTGTTGTTATGACGAGATACTCTCATAGATGTACATTTAGTGATGTTAAGCTCCATGAGCAATTCCTTGCACCATTTGCAGATGTTGTTAAGCTGAAGAGCGGAAGTGCCGGTCGTTAACTATCTCTTTTTAAATCACGCAGTCGATAGTTTCCCGTCTTGTGTCTTCTTTCGCAGCTGTTGTATACTTTGTCTCGTGTAAAGGATGCATTCTATGATATTTCCCCACTTTGTTTCAGCTTGACGGTTGCTACAACTACACTCTGAATGTTTCGCTGCTCAACACGAAGAATTTCACCTACTCGTACTATCCTTCTATCAACATCACTGCCAAAGTCTTGGAGAAGGGAACTGGTAAGGCTATCTCCCTGCACCTTATCAAACGTTGCGGCAGCCGTTGGAGCTCCCAAACTCCCTTGTCCCGGCAGAGAAAATCAGAAAAAACAATCAAAACCCAAAGAAGCTTTTTTTGGCAGGACATGTATGTTGTAAGATCAACTTTCCCCGAAAAGAAAAATGTTATAGCAGTGCATTACTTACCTTGCAAGACAACATTTTAGGTTGTGCGAGATTCTGATGTTTTGGCACATCGATACCAAATAGACTCACGTTTCTGATTCACTCCTAAAGACATTGAGCTTTCAAACAATTCATTTTCGAGTGCCGGCAATCGTAAACTGAATTTTAACTGAAAGGACGTGTTACCGCAATATCTATTTTGCGGGACGCAATTTGAGTGAGGGGCTGTTAGGAAAAGCGCTTCTATTTTGGCACGTCTTTCAAAAAAAGTTGCGCCAAATGATCTAATCAATCCAAGAACCAAGTCAAGGAATCAATATATCTATAAATTAAGAATAAACAAATCAATTCTTCTGTGTCTCAGTGAATCAACCAATGAATGAATGTTATGATGAGTGCCTGTTCACATCAGTTGAGGTACAAATGCGCGACTTGTTCTTGCAGGCGTCTCGGAGACAGAGACTACCCTCCACAATCGTAATCGAGAACGCCTCAGGCTCAACTTCAACCAGAAGTATGGCTCAAGGAACACTCTCTTTGTCAGCAGCGACAACACCTTCAAGCTCAACATGGCCTACAAGGGCCTGGTAAGGACCACTCATTTAATTCCAGGGCTTTTTCCACTCTAATCATCTCTTGTTTCAGGTCTGAAAGCATTATTCTTGGTTCACTCATTTGTATTGCTATATTGTCTTGCAGGGTTCACAGTTGATACAAGTAAAGTCTTTCCTACTATTTGCATTTTTTTGTTTTTCGGATTACCATCCTCGAGTTACGCACCGAGCCTTTGCAGTTATTTAGCTGGCTTTGGTTGTAATGGAATCGACAGAGCAGATTTTGGGTATTTTACTATTTTTGGTCGCCCTTATTTTTCTGTCCTCTGTGAAGTCAAGTGACGGCGTGGCATGATGTCGCGTGACACTGACAGCTTCTTTGCTGTGCCCGTCAAAAACAGAAGGGCATAAATTCTTCGCATTTAGAAAGCCTTTGAGAATTGCTAAGGAGACGGCCAGTTTTCCTGTCATGCCGGAAGCAGCATTGTGTCTCTATTTGCAGCTGTTTGTCCAGAAGCTTGACGGAACGCCCCAGCCCCAGGAGACCATCCAACTCTGCCTGTTTGTGGAGTGCGAAGTGTACAAGTGGCGTGCGTGGCAGACAAAACGGATCCTGTCGTGCCGCAACTACACCTCGGACAATGATGGCGTCGTCCGCTTCAGCCTTCCTCAGTACGGCACCAGGGTGACCTCCCTCAGCGTGGAGGTACGTCTCGCTACGGTGTCCGCAAGCGCGTCTTCGTCTGTCCCGCTCACACATCAAAAGTGGTCCCTAAGTGGCAACAAATGACGCTGCGGAAGCCACCGTGTCCTATTGTCTGATGTTGCGATCCCAGCAGAAAGTTTGAGCCTATGCAATTGTCGTTGCCCAACTCCTTGCTGGCTTCCGTGAATCACCCAGCCGGAGAGCAGCTTCCAACAGGAAAGACTCCAGCGCTGCCCTCCCATTCCCTGGGGATCGCTGCTGGACACTTGTAGGACGTCAGGAAATCGAGCAACCACATTTTAGGACGCAGTAAACACACCAGTCTGAAGCACGTTCCAAGCACCATAGTTTCTCTCCCGTAGACATGGGAATTAATTCTCAAGAAGGCCGAATGTTGTGCGTGGTGACAGAGTGCAGTAGAAGCTTTGTCTCTGGCAAGCATATTCCAATTGCCTTGCGCCAGTTTTGCCTGCACATACGCCAAAGTGGTATCAAAGGCAGGAAGCTTATGCTGGAGCCATAGTTTTCACATTTCCAGGCGGAAACTGTAGACACACGTCGCTCACAATGAAGCCTGAATATGAAAGGCTTAGGTCTTGAACACTGGGTGATCATAGGATTCGGTAGTTATGTCACTGTAGGAGTGTCACTGCTAGAGCACCTTCTTCTCAGCTAACTAGTATTCAACTGGCTCAAAACTGTCCACATTTCCACCTGCAACTGGGAATGTGGGCAATAAACCATTGAATCAGTTGAATTGGGCTTCAGATGCAATATGAGCCAGTTGAAAGCAGCATGAACCTTATTCACAGATACTACCTTTTTTATTTACAAGTTTTCTTTTTTAACCTTAACGATGATAGATGGTCATGCTGTTGTAGCCAAATAGGTTGGTTTCAGCGTAATCAAGATTCAAAATTTCGGATTTTATGCATAACATTGTCATAGAGTGATGTCTCATGACCTCTGCTTCCGGACAAATCATCTATGTTAGTTCTCCACATTAACGAGACAAAAACACACGTATTAACCCAATTCGTCCCCCAAAATGTCTATATAGAGGGGTTACTGAGGTCCGTCTTAATTCTATAGTAACTGTGGTTTTTAATTTGACAGGCACTTGCCGTCGACTTCCCGAGGATCGTTGTCAAGAATGGCCCAACGCTGGAGAAGCCCTCCGCACTGCTGACCCTCAAGCCTTTCTATTCGCCCTCTGGGAACTCGCTTCTTATCGATCGCCGCCAGACCACAGTCCTGGAGTGCAGGGCTACGTTTTCACCGCAGATACAGATGACTGCCCAGGCCGACAAGGATTACAAACTCTTCTTTACGGTTTGTGCTTGTCGAGTGTTTACTCTCTTACATGGAAAATCTTCTCTCGAGAGCAACTCTACTGGGCCCACCCCCAGAAAAAAAGTGTTGCATTGAAGGGTAGTCTACTCTTTTTAAATACCTAGTCTGCACTCTTACGCTCTCGCTCGGCTTTTATAGACAAGGAAACAGGAAACTGTTGACTTCTTTCTTTCCCAAACGCACACTCTGGTTGCTTTACGTTTACCTAAAATATTAGCATCTTACCATGTGAGGAGAAAAAAGTTAGTTCACAATTGATTTTATATGGTAGAACTTTATAAATTTTAGCTTCACTTTTGTGTGAAGTGAAAGTGAACATTGCGAGTTTTTCTAACAGTTGATATCTATATTTAATGGAGGTTGCCTCGTTGAGTATACCATATTTATTTGAACATGAGGCGAGGTTTTTTTTCCAAAATCCGTAATCTCAGTCATACCCCGCCTTATATTCGAAGCTCAGTATAGCAATATGACATTTTTTTTTCTTTTTCTTGGGTCCTTCAACTGCCCCCTCGCCTTATAATCGTGACCGCCTTATATTCAAATAAATACGGTAGTTTATTTTTGTTGGTGAGATAAACATGCTCACTCTTAATGGCAGTACAACAAAACAACGCACAAAGAAATAAGTAAGCTTAGATGGACAGATGGATGGATGTTAATGGCTATATCCTTTGTAACGGGCTGTAGCTTGCGCCACCCAAGTCAAAAAAGATAAGCATATGATTCCTCCCACCCTTCTAGGCCAACTTTACTCCCCTTAACTATCACCAGGCAGTGTGGGATATCACCAGAATGACCCTTAAGTGATCGGGCAAAAAAAAAGAAAAAATCCCCCTCCCCCTTTCCGTTTCTTCTGCTTGGCGAGGGAGTCGCCGATTTTCCTCTGGTCAGATCTTATCGACGTTACCCCAGCACCGCCCTTTAGCACAATGTTGACCACAATACCAATTCTGCTGATGAAGGTTTCTTTTCATGAAATGAATTATCACGTATGTTTTGAAGTCATTTCAAATAGCCTTCAGACCTCACAAAACTCTGCACGGCCATAAATCCGTAGGTACTGTCCCCTTGTTCGGAGGGGGCAGAAGGGGGGATCAGTGGCCGAGCAGCTCGGAGCACGTGGAGCGAAAGCATGTGTGCAGGGATTTTGTAGCATTTTGATCAGCATTGTATTGGCATGCAGTCAAGTCAGTATTACATGATGCACGATTTTGTTCAAGGTGAGGCCGAGAATATCCTCTCTTGGATGTTGCGTCGAAAACCTCTGCTGGGCGCCCACAGCCACCCACTGAGAAATGTTTACCCCGAGTTCACGGAGTCAGCGCTATTTTGGCCTCTCGCCGACACAAAAATGGCCAGATCTTGCGGCCTTTGATGTGCCTCCTTCCCACACCAGTCGATGTCAGCTTGTGTACAACAGGAGAACAACTGGAGGTTTACAAATGAAGCGCGGGTTGTGGACGGCTTCCAACCTGAAATAGCAGGCATTCATACTTTGAGCCTGCATCCGATTCGAGTTTGTGATTGGTCTGTAGTAGACGATCAACGTTTTTCCGTCTTTTCGCTTGCAGATAATATATGGTGTTTTCTTGTTTTATTTCCACCTGCAAATAACGCTTCATAGCAGATAAACCGTTTATTTTTTGCCTACGTTAACTAACAAACCATCTGCAAATGCTACCTTAGTTTGTCCCGCAGGAGGCAAGATAGATGTCGCTCTAGCAGTGACCAAAATCGGACCCCAGGGTGGGCTGATCAACTTGCCACCATCTCGTGAAACGTAATTAACGAGGGCTGCTCTCCTCTTCGAGCAGCTCACATCGAGTGGCCGCGTCTTGGACTCTCGGAGCACCACCAGACGCTTTGCATTGGGCGAGCTCATCCAGGAGTCTGCGGATAACACCACGATCCAGAATGAGGGTGCTCCGCCAGAGGGGAGTGTGGAGCCTACGGCCGGCGAGAACCCGACGCCCCACAGTGTGGCCGTCTTCACCTACGAAGCAACTCTCCCCGAAGATGCCAGCCCCAAGGTCCAGCTTCTCGTGTACTACGTGCTCCGGGACGCCCAAGGGAACCCACTGGAAGTGGTCTCGGACTCGGCCGAGTTTGCAGTTGACAAGTGCCTAGAAAACAAGGTTGGTTTCTATGTTTATTAATTTATTCACGCATATTATCATTCATTGTAAGGAGTGCAATAGGAGTAGCAGCATAGGCAGCCTTCAACACTGTTTGGAAACATTGGCTAGAGTGGTGGCTACATTTTTCACACGTGAGCTCCGGTGGCGCCACTTGGCCTAGTGTCTGAAGCAAAAAATACTGGGTAGGCTTGGACGCCGTGGTCGCATGACATGCCAGTACGGCGGAAGCCCTGGCGGGCCAATCGGATCGCGACTGCCTATCACCTGGGTGCACTTTTACTGCGAAGAAGCGTTATCGCTGCTTCATTCTCCAATATCTGTGCGTTGCGCTCGTACAGGGGTTTCCCCAGGAATTTAAATTACGGGGGGGTGTCTAGAATGGGGGAGGGGCTATTGAGAATAGAGGAGTCGTTGCGAATGAGTGCCTTCAGAAAAACCAAGGGGGTGCGTAGGAAAATCACTGTGCTCGTATCACAGCCGTCAGATGCGAGACAGTGTATAACCACTCTGCCAGCGCTGCCTGGCTGTTGCCGGCTAGCTATACAGTCGCCGACCGATTATCCAGACTTCGCTGGGACCGAAAAAACGTCCCGATAATAGAGCAGTCCGAAAAATGGGCAGATTGAAAAACTTTCCTTTATTACTTCCAAGTGGGCTTAAAAAAGCCTTAAATAGTGCCTTGGTTCAAGTTACGCCTCCGTTTCCGTTCGGCAACTTTCTGTTAGCGTGAGAATCGCTGCCTTCTTTTCTAGCGTTGTGGTCGAGTAGCAGAACAGCAGATGGGGCCATGACGTCCAAGCCAGCATTGTCCGAACGACAGCGGCGCAAATCCACGAGCGCAAAATGGCGACTGGCGATGCGAATGAACGGAAAAACAAAGCAAAATGATAATATTGATGATGATGATGACGTGAAGCTAAATGGGGAAAAAAAAAAGGCTAGCATAGCGTCACCTAGTGCTAGGACTCAGGAGTGCTCAAGTAGCGCTGCCAAACCAAGCCAATCCATTGGCAGCCCACATAGAATTCAAAATGGCCGCTTCTCAATGGTGTTTTCCGTTGATCGCTCGCGACGATCTTGTCCGAATAATCGAACTTTCGGACGCTGTCTGAAACATTGGTCGTGAATATACTCTATTTCTATGGGATAAGTTACGGTTCCCCCTTTAGGCCCGAAATATCGAACAAGTCCGAATTATCGGAGTCCGAAAAAACGGTCGGCAACTGTACCATCAAATAAGCTCCCTAATAACAAACAAAGGAGATCAACTACCATCATTCACCGTATTGCAATTAACCCCGCGATATAGAAAATGTTTCCAGGGAATCTTGGGCTCTAAAATGAGCTGCGAAAATTGGCACCTAAGATGGTGTTCATTTATAGTATTTTTTTTGCCCGCTGCATTGATTGGGAGCACCCCATTCATCGCTCCACATTCTTATCATTTGAAAAGCTCCACGGGACATTCGAAAACGTTTCTTCTATTTTGGCTGCACATGAGCAAGTACGGGCGCGGAGACAGCGTCAGCGCCTTCACGGGCAACCAAGTGCGCCTTGCAATCAAGGGAGGACCCAGGGGCGTCATCTTTTGAGCCCCTAGCTTGAAATGAACGATACTACTGGCTTCTACTTATTAGAAAGGGTGCTGAAAAAGTTTCTGCTCGGGAAATTAAGAAAATTAGGACACTTCCTGGGGAACATGAAATGGTGGGGCACATTTGCCCACTCATCGTAGTGCCTACAAATGTGAGCCACGCTTCGGTGACACTCTAGGTAGCAATCAAAGACCATGTGAAGTGCAAAGGTGCACTCTACCAGGAAGAGTGGGCCCCTATGCGCCAGGGGCATTGCATCGTATAGTGCCGAGGTGTGTTTTTCTAAAGTAAATGCGTGTAAATGGGGATCTCCGTACGTGCGTAGCCTAGGTCATAAGTGTATCAATATGCATATATATATATACCGTACTTACACGAATGTAGGTCGACCCTTTTTTCAATTTTTGAAAATCTCAAGTGGGGGGGTTGAGTTATAATCGAGCCAAAGCATTCCACCGCCGGTAGAAACGAAACATTCGTGATATCACAAACACCGCGGCTTGTTACGATTTACTCCGGTTGTACCTTTAGCACTGCACTATTCTGTGCACTGATTTTACAAATTATTTCTTGTTTTATTTGCGCGAACAAGTATTATTGATAGCAATTCGCAAATTAACCTGAATATACGGCGGTGAACAGTGCATGGTGTGCCCGACTCCCGGGGGTGGCGGCACTTCTTGTAAGAGTCCCTCTGGCAACTCCGGAGGCCGCTGGAACAGCCTCACGGCCCACTCACCCCGCGGCTTCCCTTCGCAGTTTTTCGTGCTATTCACGGTCGCACATCGTTTGATCGAGTGTCAAGATCATACTGGGGTGCTGACTACGTTCATTTTGTATCGACACGCTTGATCTGGGCAGTTTAGGTTTTCGGTGCTCGTTTCTGGCCACTCGGAAGCAACCAAGTGCTCTGGTGGATGCAAGTTCGACCTGTCAGAGCGGGTGATGCTCGAGTAGAGTCTGCAGTGGCGCCGGATGTGACTGCAAACAAAGAGGCTTCCGCAGAGTCACTGGGGATGTCTTCCGGAGTGGGAGGTCAGGCTTGCAACGTACGGCCCAAAAGTGTGCAATCGGTCCCTACCCGTGACGTCCAAGGCAATCGCCGAGCAAGCATGGAAGATCATTTGCAAAGTGCGAGATTTCGTTAGACGACGACTTGCTTCGAGAACGTGGCACTGAGCATGGCGCGACTGACATCACCAGTGCGGATGAGTCAGTCTATACTTGGTTTCAGCTTCCGTCCGAGCGCAGCCAAAGCTACGTGTGGCCGGAGCCAATCGCACGTTGGCAAAAGGTCGCGCGATCTGGCCTACAATTTTGCATCCCTCCGCTGCGCCGCTGGTTGTCCGCGACGCCCGTGCTCACAAAGTATCTCGTCTGCTACGGGTGTACCAGAGGTCTGCTGCAGGTTTAAAAAATGCCCTTTCACGCTCTGAAATTTAGTCGCAAGGGATGTCAGTACGTACGCTGGCGTCTGTGACCGAGCTTTCCAGCTGTCCGGCATAGTTTCGAGATGTAAGTACACGTTGCACGGTGACCCGGCCGTTGATGTTTCCTTCTATTGTTTGGATCTACCTCGAGGCGCAGTCCTTTCCACCAGCTTCTCAGGTAAAGGGGTGCCCTGATTTGGCCGCATATCATGATTTCTAGTGGCCCGGACGCTTTTCTTGTTTCCAACGCATTCGCCGTACGACACGGCCGGGAACTCCCGCCGAATTTGAAAGCAGACATTCATCGCGAACGTCCTTTCGCAAAGGCACGTTTGAGTGTCAGGTGCGAGAGGTCGCACCTGACACTCAAACGTGCCTTTGCGAAAGGACGTTTTGAAGCGGTGAGGAAAACGGCGAAGCACATGATTCGGCCGGGAACGAAATCACGCAGAAAAACTGAGATCTGCAGCCGTGTTGCCAGCGGATGTACGTGTTTTCACCAAACCACATGGATTTACATATATTAATAAGAAACATAAACTTGAGATATTTAATTCCTTTAGTTCATTGTCAGCTGTACACACGTGGAATATAGTGCAATGTTACACATGTGGTGGAATGCTCTTGTCGAAGTTACGAAGCGTCCTTTGGCTGTGCTCGGACGAAAGCTGAAACAAAGTAGAGTCGCGGATGGAGTGAGAACGACGGGGCTTGAGTGGTCCTCCCTCCAGCGTGAACTTCCTGGTTCCAGTAACGCAGCTGGGCACCTTGTGCACCTCGTGCATGCATGTGCAGCCAAAGCACGCCAGAAGGCATGCGGGTTGCAGGCATCCCAAACAGATACTTTGCCCTTCTCACCTGCTCGCACTAAAATGCGCATCGAAAGTTTTCCTTGATGTGCAACGTGGACTGACGATCGTGTAAATACGGTATCTCTTTTTCAAACACAGATATGAGTAACACCTGTGTTGGTCTTCTTGCTTGTCTTTCTAGCGCTTTTTACCATGGTTTAAAGCAAACGACGGTTTTTCAACTACTCTCTTTTTGTGCCAACTTTTGTACAAAACCTTGTTTCCCATAAAAAAAACCAGAATGGAAGTGCTTTCCACCTGAGGTGATGTCAGTGTTTCCACCAGGTCTGTTCTTAGGGCGGGCTGAGAGTGTAGCAAGTGCCACCGAGTGCATGCACCTCGAAAAGGTGCCTTCTCGGAAACACTCATTTTGGTCTTCGAAAGTTGCATCGCTAAAACTGTGAACACCGTTGACTTTGGCAAATTTGTTGGTCTCATTTTTTTTATAGAAAGGGAACGGAATTTGACTAAAGGTAAAATTAATGCGTATCCGGCGAACCTTTGAGCTTTTAATGTAAAGGTGCCGATTTTTCCGATTTGTTTCCAGTGTAGGGTCCACCAGGCATACGCAGTATGTGGAATCAAATCTCGAAGGTTCAAGCAACAGTGTGGAATTTGCATAAGCCAAATGGAATGAGCGGCAGGTATACATATAAGCAAAATACTGCAACATATTTACACAATTTTTAGCCTTGGTTTAGAAATGAAGCAACGGTGTCACACTCAACAACACATTTATCTGTATAATTTATTTCGCTCGATATTGCTCCTAGAAAGAGTATTTGAACCTGTGAGTGGCATTCAAGGATTATCTTTTGATGCGTGAGTCGGGTGTTGTTTTTTAGAAAGTTGTGCATCTGTCCTGGGTTATATATTTTCATTGATGATCAAAAGCTGTTTTGAGCTGTTTTACATTCACCCTAGATGACATAGTTACATCAGTTTGAAGCATTAAATTTGATGGAGAGCGTTTTCTTCCACTTTGATTAAAAATAAGCATTAGGTATTTTCTTTGCATTATTTCTATTTTGTTCATATTTGTTTAGTATAATGATGTTGCATTTCATTGATGCCCACCAACTGCAGCCAAATACCCTGCTCATCTTACATTAGAAGACAGA